CCTGGTGAATTTTTGAGATATCTAAGAATCCTATGAGCTGCACTCATGTGAATATCAGTAGGATAAGAAAGAAATTGACTTAAAACTTGTACACTGTAAGCAATGTCAGGTCTAGTTACAGTTAAATAAAGAAGTTTTCCAATTAAAATCCTATATGTTTTGGGATCATTAAGGGCAGTACCATCATCTTTTGAAAATTTTATTTTTGAATCCATAGGAGTATTGTAAGGTTTACAGTCTAGGTAACCATAATCTTTTAAGATATCTAAAGTATATTTTCTTTGACATAAATTTATGCCTTTGTCAGATCTAGCAATTTCTATCCCTGATATGTATTTCAATTCTCCAAGGTCCTTTATAGTGAACTTATTATTCAGAAAAGTTTTTACAGCAATTATTTCTTTCATACTATTTCCAGTTAGAATAATATCATCAACATAAACTAAAAGAGCTGTAAAATAAGATTTATCAGTTTTAGTAAATAAAGAAGAATCTGCTTTAGATTGAATGTAACCAAATGTTTTAAGAGAATCAGAGAGCTTACAAAACCATTGTCTTGATGCTTGTTTAAGTCCATAGAGACTTTTAATAAGCTTACAAACTCTATTGTCATTAGCAGGTAGATATCCTGGAGGTGGCTGCATGTAAATAACTTCATTTAAGTCACCATGTAGAAAAGCATTATTTACATCAAGTTGATGTAAAAACCAGTTTTTAGCACTAGCAATAGCTAAAATTATTCTAACAGTTGTTAGTTTTACAACAGGTGAAAAAGTATCAAAATAATCAAAACCTTCTTCTTGAGTATATCCTTTAGCAACTAATCTAGCTTTATATCTATCTAAAGAGCCATCAGGTTTTAGTTTAGTTTTGTAAACCCATATGCAGCCTATTATATTTTGATTTAAAGAAAGATTAACTAAAATCCAAGTGTTATTTTTCTCAAGAGCATCAATTTCAGAAGACATAGCCTTTTTCCATTCAGGAAATTTAGAAGCTTGTTTAGAAAGAGCAGCAGTAAAACAAGAATGAGAAACACTTAACCTATTATGAGTAATATGTTTTTGAATAGGATATCTGATAAAATTGCAAGAAGAAGTCTCAGAAGAACCTGTAGTAATAGAATGAGGTAACTCGTAATTGTAATCCTGGAGATGAATAGGTAGAGATCTTACCTTTTGTTGATTTTCTTTGTGTATGACCTTCTGAATCTATAGGAATATTAGAAGTCTGTACAGCACTATTATGATTAGAGTTATTCATATTGAGGACATTAAGTTCATCATTGATTTGATTTTCCAGAAAATCATCAGAGTAAGTGTTGTTTTGATTTGGAATGTGATAATCATAAAAATAGTCATGAATAGGAATAGTAAAAGAATCAGAACCAGAGTGAGAATTGTCAGTTATAGTAGAATCTTTTCTATAAGGAAAAATCATTTCATAGAATTTAACATTTCTTGAAATAAAAAATTTATGATTATCAATGTCATAAAGTTTGTATCCTTTAGACCCTAAAGGATAGCCAATAAAAACACATTTAATAGCTCTAGTGTCGAATTTAGATCTGTCAGCAGTGAGGGTAGAAGCATAAACAAGAGAACCAAAAACTCTTAAATGGGAATAATCAGGAACTTTATTATATAAAAGTTCATAAGGAGATTTATTTTTTAAAATAGTACTAGGAAGTCTATTTATAATATGCACAGCAGTAAGAATACAATCAGACCAAAAAATAATGGGTAAGCAAGATTGAAATAAAAGAGCTCTAGCAACTTGAAGAATATGTTGATGTTTTCTTTCAACTCTAGCATTCTGCTGAGGAGTTTCAACACAAGATAGTTGGTGAACAATGCCATTATTTGAATAAAATGATGGAAAAATAACCTCAGTTCCATTATCAGTTCTAATGATTTTAAGTTTAGTGTTGAAATGAGTAAGAATCAGATTATAAAAATTTTGCATATGAAATTTAACTTCAGACTTAGTTTTCATCATAAAACCCCAAGTACATCTAATGTGATCATCAACAATAGTTAAAAAATACTTAAAACCAGAATAAGATTGGACTCTAAAAGGACCCCAAACATCCATGTGAACAAGATCAAAAGGGTTAGAAGCATAAGAAGTACTGACAGAAAAGGGTAATTTTTTCTGTTTAGCAAAATGACATATATCACAAGGAGTATGCTTATCCAAATGTTGAGCAATATTACAATCAACAAGATTATTGAGTTTATTAAAAGGTAAATGGCCTAATCTGTAATGCCAAATATGAGATTTAGAAACATAATATTCAGAATGAACATTATTAGTAGTGTTTGATTTATTAACAGAAAAAGAAGATGCATTTGAGCTGTAGATATAAAGGCCATTTTGGAGATCAGCACAACCAATCATTTTGTTGGTGAGAAGATCCTGCAAAATAGCATGATTAGAAGAAAAATGAACACAAATATTTTCATGCAATGCTAAGCTAGATATGGAAATAAGATTGAAATTAAATTGAGGAACATGTAGAACATTATGTAAAGTAAGGTTACTGTTAAGAGTAACATGACCAATATGAGTAGCAGTAATGAAAGATCCAGTAGGAAGTTGAACTTTAATAGAAACAGTTTTAGGTGTAGAAGTATATAAACTAAAATCATGAATGTTGTGATCAGAAGCACCAGTATCAAGAATCCAAATAGTAGATGTAACCTTAGAAAGAAATGCAGTATGTTTACCTATAAAATTGAAGTCATTAGGAGAGGACTGATCATTGTTAGGAACAGCCATAGCAACATGAGCAGAAACTTTGTCATTTTGGCTCTTCATAAACTCAAGGAATTTGTTGTAAAGCGATGGATCACATAGGTCAATGTGTTTAGAAGGAGAATCAGGAGAAGTGTTAGCAAGATGAGCATGAGGAGTCTTATTAATGTTCTGAGGTAATTTGAAGCCAGGAGCAACTCTGTGTCCTTTAGGACCTTTCCAAGTAGGAGGATATCCAATGATTTGGAAACACTTATCAGCAGAATGGCCTTGAAACCCACATTGGGTACAAGTAACAGAAGATGTCTTTTATAGGTTTGATTTTTAGCAAGAAAAGCAGTGGAGTCATTGATAGAAGGAGTATAAGTATGTGAAGGATCAGAAACGGGATATTGAAGATTTCTTTGGGCTTCTTCTTGAAGAAAGAAAGAATACACTGTAGAGAGATTAGGAAAGGGAGTCTGAAGAAGTATTTGACTTCTCAGATTAGAGTAGGACTCATTTAGTCCAACAAGAAATTTTTGTACAGGTTCCTTTTGAAGTAGTGCTTGATATTTTTCATTGATTTTGCAGGTGCAATTACCACAAGAACAAGGAGGAAGAGTTTTGAAATCAACATATTCATCCCAAAGACCTTTGAATATATTGTAATAGGCAGTGACGGTTTGAGTACCTTGAGATATATTACCTAAAGATTTTTCAAGAAAAAAAATCCTAGGACCATCACTCTTACCATATCTAAGTTGTATTTCATCCCAAAGTACTTTTGAAGATGTAAAATACAGAAAAGTAGAACGGATTTCAGGTGAAATGGAGTAAATCAACCGAGACAAAATAAAGGCATTGATACGATACCAGACAGAGTAAGCATAGGAATCAGTTGAATGTGGTTGCTGAATAGAACCGTCCAGGAAAGGCATCTTGTTTTTCACGCTGAAAGCCATTGTCACCGATTTCTTCCAAGCATTGAAGTTTTCACCGGTGAGTGTTTCTGAGATGATGCGTAGATCGGCGTGATCACTTGGATGCAGATAGTAAGGAGAGGAAGAATCCTCAAGAGGATTTAAAGGGAATGAAACAGACATGTTCAACGCAATTAGGGTTTGCGTGAAGAAGAAGGGTTTCACGAATCGATTGATTCGAAAAAAATGAAATCGATTATAGAAATCGAATAGAGAATAGATTCCAGAAAAACGAAATAGGATCACTGGCTAATCTGATACCATATAGATGATTACATTCAAGGATTGAAAAAGAAGATGAAGAACAACCATATGAATACCAGAGTCGGGAGAGATTTGAAGAAGCGTTCATAGGTCTAAGTAATCACTTACCAAATATGGAAAGCATATTTGGTTTATATACAAATACAAATGGGCTTAAGAATTAGAAAGGCCCAATGACAAATACAAAAAATAGAAAATATACACAAGTCCATCTAGGTCCATTAAGTCCAGCACATTTATTCTTGATATAATCAACATTTTTTGTGGCCTACATTTATAGAAAAGTTATCGGTGCAAAGAATTTTGGTAATATGTTAAATATTGATACTATACATTCTTTATGTTTGATGTACATATTTTAGATACAAAAACTATCGGTGTGGTGCGTATAGTTTTTAGAATGGTATAATTTTTTACTGTTTCTGAAGTTATACATTTATAATGTCGAAAGTTATAAAAGTTAACAATGTTAACTTAGATTTGACAGTGACTTGACGATCACATTTACAACAATTTTCAGACAATTGAGATTACATTTCTAATAATTTAATTTAAAAGAGACTCAAAGTGCAATTTTTCTAATAATTTAATTGTTCATATTATACTAGTGTGGAAAATATTTCAATACATTTACTACTATAAGTAATTAATACACTTGTACACACTAAATTACAAGCGGAGTTTCTCATCATGAAATCATGAGAATATTTGACAAATTGCCCATCAGATAAGACCTGCACTGATTACATTAGAATATGGAATATCATTATGGCCATTGGGTAAATTAATCAATTAAAAGAAATCATACGGGATGAAATATAAACTAGTATCTTCGTCCTGCTATGATCGTTCCATTTTACCTTATCGGTTCGTCCCACTAAGATTGTTTCATACCAAATTTGTTAAAGTTTGTGCGACTCTAAATCATTCTTACTTTATTCTTACTTTATCAATTCAATATCAATCACATAAAACACTTTCTCTTGTCTCATTATTAGCGGGATCCGAGGGAATAAATAAATAAAGACGGGTATAGCCATCATCTCATACTCCGTATAACAAGTCAATATATTTTCAAAGAGTGTCGAAATCATGTGGAGATGCCTTTGAATGATAAGACATGATTGAGCTCATCAAGGACCTATAAATCCTCAATCCTCTCTTGAATATTTGCTAAGTTTGACATTACAGTTATATATACAAACACCCGTCCTTCGAACTGGTTATGAACCAGTAGCTTAACAGCATTCATGGCGGAGAAAGAAGGCTGCAAAAGAATTCTTGAGTTTTTTCTTCTTGTCATCATTTCAGCATTCTTTGAAATTGGGCTCGGCTTGAACCAAGAACAGAGCTTATTCTCCTTCCCCAGCGTGCTAAAAACACCATCTGATCATCAGATCGATATTACAGCTGAAGGATGGGGAGATATGGAATCATCATTTTCAGATGACGAAAAGGGAACCGCGGCGGCGGCGTACGAAGATCATCTGATAGTAAACGGCCTTCCCGGGCAGCCGCCGTCCCGAGAGAAGTTCAAGCAGTATGGAGGCTATGTGAATGTGGACATAAGGAATGGCAGAAGCCTTTACTATTACTTTGTGGAGTCTGCCCAGAATTCGGAGAAGAAGCCTCTCATTCTATGGCTTAATGGAGGTAACACTATTAATTGGGTTTTTGCCACTAGTGACATTTTTGTATTCAATTTTAATTTTTTTCATTTTTAATGTTTCGATTATTGTGTGAGATACTTTTTTTTATGATTCATTTAAAGTTCCCCACATTTAGTCTAAAATATTTTATCAAATTAAAACATTTAGGGGTACAGTTGTTTTTTCGTGATTCTGCTTCTCCTTTTTTAAAAGCATAAGCACAATTAGAATTAGTTGTTTAGAAATTAATCTTCCCCAACTTCTAAAAAACTGCTTCTAGAAGCAATTTGGAGCACTCAGAAATACTTCTCCACTTTCACTCAAACACTCTAATGAAGTATATGTGTGCTCCCTGAAAGAGTAGAAGCAGTTTTAAGAACTAAATCCAAACACTACCTTAATCATTTCAATGTGATTTTGTTATAGTAAGTGGAGGACTAAAAATGACACTTAGAATTTTTCAAAGACTAAATATAGAAATTTTCAAAGACAAGTATCAAAAGTGTCTTTCGCACAATAGTTTGAGGATTAAAAGTGGGAAAATTCAAAATTGAGTACGAAAAGTGACAGTGACATAATAGTTGAAGAACTAAAAGTGCAAAAACTCTTATTGATTCTAGTTTAGATAGTATTTCTTGAACGTTGACTCTTAGAATTTTTATGCAAGTTCAGTGTTGACCTAATGGATGATTTACTAAGCAGGTCCTGGCTGTTCATCAATTGGGGCGGGTGCCTTTGTAGAGCTTGGCCCTTTCGGTGTCAATCCAGATGGAAAAACTCTCTATTCCAGAAAATTTTCTTGGAACAAAGGTCTCTATATACTTCATGATGTGAATATTTGGTCATATATAGTCTTCTAGATTATGTTTGTACATTTATGTTTCCATCAGATGTATTATTTATGGTAAAAAAAAGTCCACTGCAAAAAGAACTTTTCATTATTGTTGTTAATGTTGTCATTTATGATGTTGTAGTTGCAAATGTGTTATTTCTGGATTCTCCTGCCGGGGTTGGGTTTTCTTATTCCAATACTTCCTCCGATTACGATAAATCGGGGGACAAGATGACCGGTAAGATACGAAAGTCCTAATTATTCTAACACATATTTCCTTTTTTTATGCAATTGCCTATTTTTCAATAATGAAACAATTGTAAATATGTTACAGCGCAGGATTCGTACAATTTCTTAGTAAATTGGTTCAAGATATATCCTCATTACAAGACCAGAGATTTTTATATTATGGGAGAACATTATGCAGGTGAGACTGGTCCACCCAATTTTACTGCAAACTTTGCATATCTGGATTTTTTCTTTAATTTGTTTGCTCCTCCATTTTTTGTTAAACCAATGGATCAAAATCTCTATAATCATGGCTGTCACAGGATACTTCATCCCAGAGATTGCGGATATAATTCTCTATATGAATAAGATGCCCAAGTCAACCTTAAAGATCAATCTCAAGGGAATCATGGTAAATTATTAGTCAAAAGTTACTTTCCAAAAATTCAACTCCTACAGTCCATCTGTGTGAATTAAAGAGATTTGAGTTTTCAAACATTTCATACGGAGTAAGTTGTACGTAGTAAATATTATCTAGAAAAATTATTGCTTTAGAACATATTTTTACCAAACACATAATTTTTTATTTCTCGCGCTAAATTTTGTAATAATTAGAAAAGTGCGTCGAAGTTACGGTAGAGGATCATTTTAGCTGTTTTTTCATATAACTTTTTCTTTATTATATCAATAAAATACATCTTAAATATAATTATTTCATAAATTAGCAGAATCGGCTAATTCAGGTACCCGTACTTCATCGAAACTTCATAATTTTCAACGGAATCAGCCAATATAGTCGATTTGGATATTACCAAATGAGCTCTTAATCTCTTAACTTATGTGTGTGGCCTTTTTTAATTTGAGAACTCTTTTGTAGCTAATAAGTTTGTTGATATCTTATGGGCTTTTTGAATGATGTGCTTTCTTCTGAAAATATGAAATGTCATGGAAATTAAATTAAATGCTCCTAAAGTAGGCGTAAAAAATAGAAAAAATGCACAAATAGCTAGGAGTGGTTATATTTTAGGTAGATTCTATGGTACCCTTAAGGTACCATACTTTTATCCACATGGACCAATGAAAATGTAGCAGTTCAATTATTTAAATCTAAATTAAAAATGATAAAGTATTGTGGTTCAATCAAATGAATGACAGGTACGGTACCCCATTTTTTAGAAACGTATCGGAGTTGTCACCTATATTTTATTCTCAAAATAAGATTTTTTAATTTGGAGTTCTATTATAAGCATAAAAAAATTTTAGTTGGGTGAGCATGAGTCCTCGTTTAGGAACAAAATAATGCATAATCTTATTTGTGCATTTTATCTATGTTTTGCTCTGATTTAATGTCGTGATAATATACACTATGAAATGATACTACGTATATTTTCTTGATTACATTATATCTATGCATGTATCTTAGATTGGAAATGGGATAATAAATTATGCAACGGATTTGAGAGGATTCTTTGACTACGTATGGAGTCATGCCCTCATCTCGGATGAAAGTTATAAAGGGTTGCTAGAGCATTGTTCCACAAAGAATGATAGCAAATGTGAAGAATTCTTAAATGAATCAGCAACAGAGACTGGTAATATAGACGTGTACAACATTTATGGTCCCTTGTGTTTGGACTCAAAACCTTCATCAAGAAAGTTCAATAAACATCGTTTTGGAGCTGATCCTTGTGAGAGTGAATATGTTAATACTTATCTCAATCTCCCTAACGTCCAAAAAGCCATGCATGCAAACACCACTAAGCTTCCTTACACTTGGAGAGTCTGCAGGTTAGTTAGGTGTTTGGATCACTTTTTTAAAACTGTTTCTGCTCCGTCACGGGGTATGTAGCAACAAAAATTAACGTATTTGACTGAAAATGCAGAAGTTCTTCCAAGTAATATTCAAGTTGTTCCAAGAAGCATTTTTCAGAAGCTAGAAGATACTAACTTTTGAAAAACTGATTAAGATTCTACTTCTGCTTTTAAAAACGAAGCAGAAACACAATCAGGGGGTGTTTGAAGGACTTCTTAAAATTGCTTTTGTTCCTTAGCTTCAAAGAGTAGAACTAAATATTGAAGTGTTTAGGTGAAATTGGAGAAGTACGTATTTCAACGATGTTTTTACTTGGACTGTTTTCGGTTACGCGCCAGACCATACTAGATCGGACCAAACCATATTTGGATAACTATAATAAAATACATAAAGATCAGATATTTATCAGACCAGACCAGACCAGAAAATTTCAGTCCAATTAAAATCATCTTAAGTGCTCCAAATTACTGCTAGAAGTAGTTTTTGAGAAGTTGGAGGAGTCCAATATATCTCTAGAAAATTGATTTTGATTCTAATCCTTTTAAGAAGAAGCAGAATCAATTTAATACATTCCCTCAATTCTAAACACACCTTTTATGAGTTTATTATTGTCTCTTTGTTGTTTCCTATTTTTCCTAGCACTATTATAATCAAGTTTTGTTTAACTTTGGTGCGTGAAGTTATGTGGTCAATTCGAAATGGACAGACAGGCCATCTACAATGTTCCCAATATATAAGAGGTTAATTGCATCTGGTCTTCAAATATATCTGTATAGGTATGCATGTAATATTGTAGTAATTACAAATTAATGCTCCCTTAAATTGAACATTAACTCTAAAGTAAACAAGAATTAATTTTACAAGAGTTGCTACTATACATGCATGCAGTGGTGATGTTGATGCTAATGTGCCGGTAACCTCTACACGTTATTCTCTTGATGCTATGAACTTGAACGTCATCACAGGGTGGCATGCGTGGAGGGGCAATGATTCCCAAGAGGTAAGCCTTCATTAGATATAATTAAGACCATTGGGTTGATGAGTCGGTACAAATAATATTTTTGAGATGCAGACTTAACGTGATTCACCAACATTGTGCTGGTTACATTCACATGCAGAAGGGGATCGGAATTTTATTGTGGAGATTAGGTTTTAGGGTTCCAGAATACTCGATCATTATGCTTCGTAGTTGGGTATACTATTATATATACGGTGCAATGAGAATGTTTCCCGGTATTTATTCCACCGATTTCGGTGGTTTATCTCGTCCATAGGCCAAATTGATGAAAACTTGATTGATTGTTGCATACAATGGGGTCGGGGACACCTTTGTTCCTTGTACTCTGGGCTAGACGGCGCATCGCCCCTGGCCCCCAACCTTACTTACCACCTATATGACCTCAAACCATGCATTTACCAAGTCACTGCACTATATGTCTATATACTACGTACGTACTGTAGTATATAATATAATTAGAGTTGCATTTTAATTTATCATGTTCCAATGCTATAGCTGTACATATAATCAGGGGCGGAGCTAGGGCGTGCCCAGGCTAAGCCCTTGCTCACTCCAAATTTAAAAAATGTCAATATTTTTAGTGTAAAAAGTTTCGTGTAATTTTGTTTTCAATAATATTCTTTGTACTGACTTATAGTGGTGTTCATTGTTTTAACTCTACAGATAGCAGGATACAAAGTGGTTTATAAAGGCATAACTTTTGTTACGGTGAAAGGGGCCGGCCAGCAAGTTCCGCAGCTTAAACCGCGCAATGCATTAACCCTGCTTAATATGTTTATTGCCAATAAAAGATAGAATATGTGTATTGGTATCCAATGTTTGCGACACTCGATAAGAGAGGTTTTGGTGTCAAATAATCAATTTGTTGCAATAAAAATTTAACTTCACTAGCTACTTTTGTGTGGCTAAGAAGAGTAAACATGTTTGAAATATAATTAAATTAATCATCTTCTAACTACTTATGAATTATGATTAATAAATCATTATTATCATCTCAGATTTATAAAAATAATGATTATGTGGCTAATATTAATTCTCGCATCCTCTTTTAAGGTAAACACACCATCAAGAACATAATCACTCTCTCCTTATCTTCCCATTATTTCTTTCGATTTCATATTTCATAATAAAACATTATTTATTGACGCTTAATGCATAATTAATCATGAAGACTGGTAACATACAGATAGTACTCCTTCTTGTCTCATAATTTACTTCCAACTTTCCCTTTTCGTCTGTCCCAAAAAGAACTTCTCTTTCCCTTTTTGGCAAAGAATTTGTGGTTCACAGTAATTCTTACACATTCTTACACATTTCTCTCTCCTCTGTACAACTCTCCACCATACAATTTCCACTTTCTTAATCTGTGTGTCATTTGTACTATGAAGTAAATTCTGAAACAGAGGGAGTATCACTTAGCTTTCCAACTTCAAGTGCGCACAATGGATTGCTGTTGACTATTTAGAATGGCAAATGGGGCCATGTCTAAAGTTTTTTGTCTTTATTTTACTTTTTGGATATATTTCAAGTCGGTATATCATGTCATAAACATTTGGAATGATTGAAAGCACTAAAAAAAATTGAACGGTGTTTACATTTTTTTGATAATCCGGGGGTTTACGCTCCATAATCCTGGAGTCTATGAACTACCCTTCAAAGCTCCTAGACAATTAAATCCGGATCTGATCACAATCAGCCTCGTCAGTACTGACTTCAAAGGACGAATCCAGCAGGATTTACATCACCTTTCAGGATGCTCCTCCCACCACACGAATCTGCTACCTTCATTATCATTCTCTCCCTTCTCAGCCGATGAGCAACTCCGTGAAGGTAGGAAGAATCATTAGGACTTGGGAGCAAGACCTCCCTCATCTCCCCTTGGTGGGAATTGAACCCAAGACCCCCCACAAAGGAGAGACTTGGGGGTGGATGGTCATCCATTAGACTACACACACCTTCTTGGACTGTAATTTGCTGGTCTGGTCTGGTCTGAAGTGGTCTGGTCTAGTTTCTTTGTATTTTTATAACTATCCAAGTCTGGTCTGGTCTGGTCTGAACTGGTCTGATCTGGTCTGATCTGGTCTGGTCTGGGACGAATTACAGTCCAAGTAAAAACATCTAAATTAGAGTTAATTACTCTAGGTATAACTAAAACTCAATTAGTTTCCCAATCTATGACTTAACTAGTTTGTTTCCTAAAATAATATTAATAATCATAATATTAAATTAAAATTCGGAATTAATAAAAAATAATTAATTTTTATGGACAAATATACCCTCTAATTTATATCTATAAAACCCTAACCTCCTGCCCATTTTCTTTAACCCTAGTCGCAGCCTCCCACCGGCAACCGTCCACCCGCTCAGCAGCCCTGTCGTCCGACCGCCGACCGACATCTAGCCACCGTCCAGCGCCACCTCCTTCCAAGTACTCCGACCCAGAGCACAGTCGCCAACCCAGAACTCCGGCCTGGGGCAGGTGTCCGCCCGACCAGGGTGTGAAGGCGCCATTCGAAGTCGATCTGCTGCCCGCCGTCCAACTGCCGCTCGTCGTACAACCTCCGTCCAGATATCCGATCTGGGAGCAAAGCCGCCGTCAAGATCTGGCAAACAAGGCGGGGCCAACGAGGCGTGCAGATCGTCCCAGAGCTTCCTCTACGTCTTGGACGTCCGCCATCCACATCCCCTTAAAACTGCTTCTGCTCCTTCAGGGAGAAGAAGCAGAAGTTTGAGTGTTTGGGTGAAAATGCAGAAGTGATTCCGGTGCTCTAATTTACTCCTAGAATCAGTTTTTTTAGAAGTTGGGGGGGGTACCAGCTTCTGAAAACTGATTTTGATTCTGCTTCTGCTTTAAAAAAGAAGCAGAAGCAGAATCAGTTCCAAACACCCCCTTAGACTCCTTCCCTTCCCGTGGCCACTCTAGCAGATTTACTAGCTAGCTTAGGAGGCTAGGAGCCGCTTTTCGTAATAGGGTGTAATAGGGTTAGAAATGCTAATTTTGCATAATTATATCATGGAAAATGCTTAATGTACATGAGTTGTACATAAACTGTACACAAAATCCCCCCAATTGCCTGTGTACACAGTGAAGTTTGTTGTCAGAATTTGATACTCAATTGCTCGTCAATGTACACATTTTGTGTACATCTTGTGTACACCAAGCATGACCCTTATATCATACTGAGTATACTCCATATTACAAAATTGGCTCAATCAATTTTCTTGTTTTCGAGTCTCATTCAATATTCATGTTTTCAATTCCGAATTGAGTGACTTTGTTTCAAAAGTTGCTTAGATAAGACGGTTCGAAGAATGTTTGTTAAATTTAGAGTTTGTGAGCATTAAATATGATCATTGAATTTTAGCAGTGAAAATGGGCAGTGAATATCAACGTAGATATTGTTGAATATGGCAGTGAATATGGAAATATATATGTTGTAGATGGCAGTGATTGAATGCATTGAGAAAGTTTGTTGTGTAGTGATTATTACCGATAGTGCAGTAACAAAGAGTAGTAATTTCATCGTGAAACGCAATATACTTAATTAGACGTAAAATAATAAAAATTATTAAATCTAAAAAACAAAAAACTATAGATAATTTAGTAAAGTGAATGAAAAGAGAATTAATTTTGGCGGAAGTGCATTGATAATTACCGAGTGTGCAGTAATGTCGTGCAGTAATGGCAATATAAAATACAGTAATTTTAATTGGACAAAATTAGTGCAAAATGCACATATTTAAAATAAGGGCATTTTCGTCATTCAACTTTTAATTAAAAACGTTATTTTCCTGTTTTTGGAATTTCGGTCATATAAAAGTCCAAAAACTAGTTAGGTCATAGATTGGGAAACTTATCGAATTTTAGTCATATCCTAGGAAATTTCCCTTTAAATTATTCCACTGGTTTTACTATGGAGCGATGGAAGATTGGAACGTGATTGTTAGAATCCCATCCCGGAAAAGTTTGAATCAACAAAGTGCTATATTAAGACATGGACTCCTCCTCCTATCAGGTTGACCTTTTAGGTTTGAACCCCCGCGTCTTAACATGGTATCAGAGTCAAATCGATCCATGGTGTGGGCCCCCTTATGAAAAATGATTAACACGATTATAAAAAAAAAGTGACAATGACGAATTGACGAAAAAAATGAATGACGGCACGATCCAGACGAAGAGTCTGGTCGTGAGGAGGGATGTTAAATCACACACCGGAAATGTTTGAGTCAATGAAGTGCTATATTAAGACATGAGTTACTCCTCCTATCAGGTTGATCTTTTAGGATGGAACCCCAGATCTTAACATGGTATCAGAGCCAAACCGATCCATAACCATTGTGTGGACCCCCTTATGAAAAAATGATGACACGATAAAAAAATGACAATGACGAATCGACGAAATAATGACTCACGGCACGATCTTGACGGAGTGTCTGATCGTGAGGAAGGGTGTTAGAATCCCACACCGAAAAAGTTTGAATAAAAAAAGTGCTATATTAAGACACGTGTTACTCTTCCTATCTAGTCTGCTAATTTTAGAAATTTATAATTCATCAATTATAACTAAAATATCTCATTAAACTTGTGATTTTTTCTCAGAAAAGTACTACGTAAATAACACACCCCAATGGAAACGTAAATATACAAACATAATTTAAAAGACTCTACATGACTTTAATTGATCGATATGTGGATGAGTGGCTTACCGTTTTAGATGAGTTTTTATACTAGAAATCGCTCTAAATAGGAGCACAAACGTTTTGAAATTTCAAAATATGAGTATCATGTTTTTTATTCCCCGAATAGGAGTAATCTGTCAAGATTGGAAAAGTATGTCATGTTTTAAAGCCTAGTAATGTTAAACTTGGCAAAAAATTACTTCTATTCAAGGAATAAAAAACATGATAGTCCTATTTTGGAATTCAAATTTTTTTTACTCGTATTTAGGGAATTCACCCTTTTTATACATGTTTTTCTTCCAGTAATTATGGTCATCATAGATTTTATTGTTATATTAAATTTTGACATTATCAACACTAATGTGACAATATTAGTGCTACGATTGACTATATTTTCAAGATTAATAATTAATATTCATGTTTAACGAATAAAATCAAACTATTGATCATATTTTGAAATTTGATAGATTTTTATCATTATGATAGTTATCTATTCTATTTATATATATGAAAAGAAATAGTTCATAAAAATACAAATTTTTCCTGAAGGAATGTTAGGTGTCAAACTCTCCTCAATTCACTCATTTTCTACAAGAATGACACTTGGTTTTTTCACTCCAAATGTACCGAACACACAGAAAGAAAGGGAAAAAAAGGATGACACCCCATCCCTGATGGCCCCCCAAAACCGACCGAACGGTACGTTGGGAGGATGTAAATTGGACTATAATCACAATCTGACAGAAAGAAAGTGATGCTCTGTCCCCGGTACTTGCAAAGGCCCTATGTATTTTTTAGCATAGTAACATCTCATTGCAGTTGCCGGGATTCGAACCCGGGACCTAACCCTTGTGGCACTCTCTCACTACTAGTTGAGTTGCGCCCACCGGTCACAGAAAGAAAGGAAAGGTAGGCGGAAGATATGTATTTGGTGGGGCCCAAAGTATAAAAAACCCCAATTTTATTTAAGGAAAATTCCAAAGGTACACCCTTTTTGTGTACACACTTTTACACATGTCTGTGTAGGGTTTTTTTTGTCTGTTACAGACAAAACGTATTCTGTCAAATACGTTTTGTCTGTAACAGACAAAAAAAATCTGCACAGACATGTGTAAAAGTGTGTACACAAAAAAGTGTGTACCTCAAGTCCAACTCTATATTGAATATATAAAAATATATTACCTCCGTCCCTTAAAACTTTGTCAAAGTTGATTGGCACGGAGAATAATAAAGTAAAAACTGTGTGGTTGAGGTTTGTGCAGAGGAGAGAGAAATAACAGAAACCACAAAATAATTGATTAAAAGGGAAAATGACAATGTTTTTTGGGGCGTCCCAAAAAGGAAAGA